CGGTACGGGAGTTCAGGTGTCCAACATCCTTGTGAGGTGGGACACGTACAACGTCACCAGTCGTATATCTTAACCGTCGTGGAAGTCCTTTAGACAACTAAGGAGACGCCAACGGTTCTAGCCCCGCTTTAGGCGGCTGAAAGAACGAGTTGCTCCTTTCATGCGGCTCATCTTGGGGACCGGATTCGTCTCCCAGAATGACCGAGCTACACTTCTCTCGCCTGTTGAGAACCCCGTCTCGTCCCGGGGACGGCCTAGCGACTGGCTGACAGTTAATCTTGGGTCGGTTTCCGATCCCGGCCATCCGACGCCAGGAATGGGGACCGCAATTCCACTTTTCGGTGGGTTCCCGCCTATGTCGGCGGGTCATTGACTCGATCGGACGTACCCTATTCGTCGGCTGCTCGGCAGAGACGATAAAGTCCCTCGTCCTCCGGGGGTATCCGGTGGACACTTCGGGGAACCTTCACGGCGGCCATTGAGACCTCCTGCTACCCGCGGACCTCTCCGCAACAACTGTACGACGGTCTGCAGGTTGGAGTCACTAAACCGTGACACGCGCAACTCACCGGTCGATTGTCGAGTAGCGGTGGCCTAATGTCCTCTTGGGCACGACGTCTACGTCGACGATAACGCAGCGGTGACCGGACCGACCCACACACCGGGCCGGGCAAGGTGGTGCCTTATATTCAGTTCCTCGACCCTTGGGCAGACTGGCGGCTGCCTTGGCCGCTGGGCCCTTAGGCCCGCTGTCGTTGCGCCCCATGCAGATGTGGCTGAACAGTCTTCACTTGGACGCCAAGTGGCACAAGCACAGGGAAGTCAGGGTGTCGCAGCATTGCCTCCACTCTCTGTCACGCTGGAGGGGCAGGGCCTATCTCCTGATGGGCGTGCCCATGGGCGCCATCCCATCCTGCCAGGAGACCATCACCATAGGTGCATGTCTCTCAGGGTGGGGTGCAGTGCGGCAGGGCAGGACTGTTCAGGGTCGGCGGTCTGCTCTGGAGGGTGCACGCCAGGTCAACGTGCTAGAGCTTCGGGCTGTGCAGTTTGCACTCACGCACTTTCTACCCCAACTGGGGGGCAAGAATGTGCGTGTTCCTTGGGACAGCATGTACGTTGTTGCTTAGACAGCAGTCCCTTCTAGATAGTGGACGTTCTCACTCCACTCTGAATTTATGTGGCTGCTATTTCTGCCCGACATGTTCGGGTCGACGCGCCACGGCGGGGTGCCACAGGTCGGTGTCCCTCTTTCTGAGAGAGGCTTTACGGCAGCGTTCCCCTAGCACCCCGAGGGCTCCGGCTTGGGACCTGCCCCTGCTGCCGGATGCCCTATCATCTCCTCCCTTCGAGCCCCTAGCCCAGGTGGGGCTTAGGTGGCTGCCCACGAAGGCAGCATTTCTGCTTGCCATAGCCTCAGGGAAGCGAGTCGGGGAGTTGCATGTCCTCTCCATAAACGATACATGCCCGAGGTGGGACTCTCAGGCGTTGTCCTTTGGGCAAATGTGGCATTTATTGTTATTGGTACTCGAGCTGCGCATGCGCGCGATGGACATATCCAGTGCTAAAAGCACCGCCTCTGGCGGTCATCCGGGACTCATAGAACCGTAGTTACAGCCTTAACTATCGTTATTGGGGGTGATAAACTAAATGGCTTGTTTCTCATTCTGTATATCTGACCTGTATGATAAAATAGCTATTTTGCTAGTTTGTAATGATAACACTAACAACGTTCAGAGACAACAAATACTATCTTCTTGATAATTCATGGGACAATTGTATTATTATAAAATCTTAGAAACAGTCCCAGAGACAAAGTGACTCTGAGAGCAGGGTTGTGTTGGTGCAGTTTACTTTACCTCCCTCTCCCTTTCAGTCCTGGAGAGTTGCATCTGCTTCAGCATCTGAGACCTCTGCTCCATCACTAGAGTCTTCTCATAGGTGAAGGCTGAGATGTCGTTATCATGCTGAACAGGAAGAGGACAGAAAACACCAACTCTTTATCTACTCTTTATGTATGGACCGTTAAGAGTACACAATAGACAGACTTAAGAGCTCTAGAACTAAAACTCAAATCATCTATTTCATGCAGCAGCAACTAAACGTGTGGCTGATAAGTTAAGAAAAAAAGCGAGTGGTGCAGTGATGATGTATTTTTGTAGGTCGACCCAGTAGTCAGCATCACAGGGGGTCCCTTGACAAAAAGCAGTAAGATTTCCCCAGTGGACAAAGGAATATTGCAGGAAATAAAATGTGTAGCCAACACACGTTTATGATACTTATCATGTTTTGTTAAACAGGACAATCTCCGGATATTAGGGATGTAACGATATACCCAATATCGCGGTATCGCAATAAATAAACGTCCCAATACCTTCGTAAACCTTTATTTAACCAGGTGGTCCCATTGAGATCATCAATCTCTTTTTCAAGAGAGACCTGTCCAACATGGCAGCAAGTAGGTTACAACATGAACATAAAACAACAGATAACACAAAAGGACATCGTATTTACAGGGCTACATTTACATACCTAGAGACATTGACAAGTACCAACAGTATATTTATATCTCGCCCTGTCAATAAGCCTCACCTTCTTGGCAAAAACTGTATTGTTTTTGAAGTGGTGGAGAGACAATGCACAGTTTGACCCACTGCTGTCACCCATGGCCAAAGCATATCTCTCTGTCCCACTGAGGTGGCGTTAAACTTTTTCGCTGTCCGTCATTTTGACCGAAAGGATCGTAAAATATCCGTCAGTCCATTATTACCCGTCGGGTCTGAACTCGCAACAAACGTGTCGCGCTGACAGAGGGGGAGAGAGAGCGAGCGAACTGTCAACGGAGGGGGGTGGGGGGGCGGTGTTATGCCGTGTTATGCATGCCCACCGAGATATGCATGCACCTCGCGGGAGCGCGCACAGCGTAAAGCAAAAACTCCCAGACATTTCAATGACCTGTACGGCAAAGTACGGTTTGGAAACTATATAATTTCCTTTTGGAAGGCATGCATAACACGGCATAACACCAGAGCCTCGCTGCGGGGAAACTTTGGTGCTGTTCCGAGTTTGTTCTAATCTGTCAAAATGACAGACTGCTTTCAGATTTTTCCGTCATTGTTAAAAAAAATATTCGGTTAACGCAACCACTGCTGTCCGAGCAACATCAGTGCGAAGCGAGAGAGTTTT